GGCGGCGGCGGCGCCCCCCCACCACCACCTCCCCGGCGCGCGCACCAAACACCACCGCCACCTGCGCGAGGTCCAGCGGGCGCAGGGTCTGCATTCGCACTTTCGCCACGGGCCCTGCCAGGAGATCCACGAAGCCGAGGATAACGGCCTTGCCTCCGTTGGTGCCTTAGGAGGCTCTGAAGTTGCGGCCTAGGGAATCTGGAGGTTGGCCGCATTCCCTGGAGAGTAGGCTTCACCCCTGGTAGCTAGCTGCTCGCGTCTGGGGTTCTTGACGAATCGGCGGCGACGAAAGCTGCGACTAGTCCCTGAGGGAAAGGGGCGGGGCGGAGGGGCGGAGGCCAGCCAGAACTCGGGAGGCGTGAGTGGCGCGTTGAATAGACGCAGATTCGTCAGGCGGGCGGGGCGAATCAGTTAACAGGATGCGCGCTCCTTTGCCTGTCTTCCTTGCCCCTTCCTTGCGCGGCCAAAGGTCCAAAAAGCTGCAGATTCGCCACTGTCCCTGGCTTCAACCATTTCCTCCCTTCACCTGCCTCGGTGGACTCAAGAAAATAACTCCGGATCAACCAAGTCCTGCCAAAGGTGGCAGACTTGACCGCCTTCCTGGATCTCCTATCTAGGACAACTCAGGGGACGGCCTACTTCCGATCCAGGGGGAAACGACTACAGCCCCAAAGTCCTCGTAGACTCTAATGAGAATTTTCAACCAAGTGCTCGAAGAATCTTGAAGACCCGGCCTAGCGAATCTGCGGATCCCGCTGTGGGCGGGGCCCGAGCGCCGCGCGCAGAGGGGCGGAGCCAGGGCGTGCGGAGTCGCGGTGCGCTTCCCGTAGGACCCGCGAAACCCGGCTGGCTGGGACGCGCGCTCGCGAGGCGGAAAGCTTCCCCAAGTCCAGCTGCGATGATTCAGGCAGTTGTTTGGCCTCGCGCATAACGCAGGGAGCGTTTCTCGTTATTTTCTTTGGGCCTTTAAAAAAATATGCATTTGACAGCTGGGGCGACAGGCCTGTAAAAACGCCACACTTGCCAGGTTCGGTCTACCACTGGTGGTTCAATCCGAGGTCGTGGCAGGGTTCTCTGGTAAGTTTAAGCGAGCCGTAAGGACCCTTCGTGTGGGTCCTGTAAAAATGAAACGTCCTGGAGGAATCCCTGCATCGAGGTTACAGGTCTCGGTTTCTTCAGCTGAGACTCCCTGTGCCCACAAGATCTTGCCGCCTGGGGCTGAAGCCGCCTGTCAGCGGATTCTGGTGTCATCACAAGCACTCTGGTCTCCGGAGAAACTGGATTTTTCACCAGAGCCCTCTGCCCTAGTGGATGATGCCCTGAGATCCTGACATCTCTACAACAGTGCCAGGATATATGACCTTGGGCAAGCCATTGCCCTCTGCTTTTTAAATTACAGATTCTCTAGCCAGGAGTGGTGGCGCACGCCTGTAATCTCAGCACTTGGAAACCAGAGGCAGGAGGATCGCTGTGACTTCAAGGCCAGCCTGGGCTACACTGTACTCAAGGCCAGCCTAAACTACACAGGGAGACCCTGTCCAAAGAAAATAAACATTCTTCCTCTAAAAATGGATGGTAGCCGAGTGTGGTGGCGCACGCCTGTAATCCCAGCACTCAGGAGGCTGAAGCAGGAGGATCGTTGCGATTTCGAGGCCAGCCTGGGCTGCGTAAGTGAGTTCAAGGCCAGCCTGAACTGCATGGTGAGACCAGGTCTCAAAAAGACAAAAATAAATACAAATAAAAATGGATGGTAATTCCTGTCACATAGGACTTATTGAAGATATCAGAACAGTACGAGAAGGGTCCTTGGAACGGTTTACACAAACTAAACATTTTAATTAATGAATAAAGAGAAGGGGATTTGTCCAAGGCTTCCCACCATAACAATAGAAGACAGGATTAGGAGTCTTGAAAATTATGAGGGAGGGGCTGGGGCTGTAGCTCAGCGGCACAGCGCCTGTGGCAAGCGCAAGGTCGTGAGTTCGATTCCCGGTACCGGAAAAAAAAAAAAAAAAAAAAAAAAAAAACAAAGAAAAATTATGAGGGAAATGAGGCTGAAAAAATTATGTACATGGAGGCATAGGGTGAAACCAAGCTCTCCTTTTTTCCCAGATGGAAGGTACTATTTCCTTTTTCAACCAGAAAGTTCCCCATGTGATGGTACAGTCTCACTGACTAGCTACATGGCTTTGGGAAAGCTTATCAGCCTTCCTGGGCCTCTGCTTCCTTATCTCTGAAATGGAAGTGATCAAACACTTGTCTTTTGAAGTGGTTGTGAAAGCTAAATGAGATCATCTACAAAGCCTAAATGAGATAACCTGAAAAGCCCCTAGGACACAGTCATCAAGAGAGAAACTTATGGGAAATCCTTAATGGAAAAAAATAGAGATCCTGAGCTCAGGAACATGGTTATATGCCTGTACTCCCAGCACTCAGGAAGCGCCTGAGTAGGATTGCCATGAGTTCAAGGCCACCCTGGACTACAAAGTGAATTCAAGACCAACCTGAACTACACAGTGAAACCCTGTCTCAAAAAGACAACAAACAGCCTGCTGAGGCAGGAGGATCCTTGAGTTCAAGGCCAGCCCCAGCTACATAGTTCAAAACCAGTCTGAAGTGCATAGTGAAACCCTGTTTCAAAAAGAAAAAAAAAGAAAAGAAAAAGCCAGGCTTGGTGGTGCATGCCTGTAATCCCAGCACTCAGGAGACTGAAGCGGGAGGATCATTGAGAGTTCGAGACCAGCCTGGGCTACAAAGTGAGCTCAAGGCAGGCCTGAACTGCACAGTGAGACCCTGTCTCAAAAAGACAAAACAACAACAAAAAGAAAACCTTGGAGCCAGGTGTATCAGTGTATGCCTGTAATCCCAGCACAATTTAGTGAGACATTGTCTCAAAAAAGTTCAAAGGCATATAGCCTTGAAATACCTTGTCTCCATATTGAGTAGCTATTGGCCCTTGTCAGCACCTAATGGGGTCATACTTGAAACTCAATCCCCATTAGGTACACTGTGTCCCCACCTAACTTAATTAGTAAACTTTCTAGGTGTGGTGCTAAAGCCTGCAGTCCTACCACACTGGCAGGCTGAAGTAGGAAGATCTCAACTTCAAGCTCAGCCCAGGCAACTTAGTACTTGATATCCTGTCTCAAAAATTAAAAAGGGGGCCAGGGGTATAGCTCAGCGGCACAGTGCCTCCCTGGCAAATGTGAGGTTGGGAGTTTGATTCCTGGAAGGGAAAAAACAACAAACAAAAAATTAAAAGGGGGGCTGGAGATTTAGCTCAGTGGCACAGCACCTGCCTGGGAAGCGCAAGATCATGAGTTCAATTCCTGGGACCGGAAGAAAAACAAAAACACAAAAACAAAAAAAATTAGAAAGGGTTGGGGATGTAGCACAGTGCAGAGACCCTCAGTTCAAGCCCCAGCACCACAGAAAATAAATGACTTTACCCAGAAAGCCTCCCCTCTACCCCATTCACAGCCACAGGGACATCTGTGAAAGGCAATTTATTATACAAAACAAGGTGCATAAAAATTCAGTGTCAGAAGAGCTCTGCCTTCTAAGGGCTGGGGACTGGACCTTCTTTCTTAAAACATTCTCCCCAAGCCCTTTTTAATGAGCCAGGCCATGCATACAGGTCCTTGGTCTTCAAAGACGACCCCTGCCCCCATTCCCAGCCTGGGCCCACTGTGATATAAATGCGTAAGTGTGGGCCTAGGACACTGGTGCAGGCACTGCCTCTTGTGCATGTGGCCACAGGTCATCAACGGTGGGGAGTTGGCTTGAATCTCGTACAACAGGAAGTTTTTGCCTAGCAAAGGCTGGACTTGTGACGGTTGTAGAAACACCCAAAGGCCCGCAGCAACCAAAGCAAGTATATGGAACCCATCAAAGTTTGGGGATAGGGAAAACCTTGCTCCAAAATGCGAACCATGAAGTAGATTCTATTCTAGGGTTGACAGCAGGAGGCAAGTGTGTGGGCATGTAACCATCTGACCTCCACATCCTATAAAGGGACAAGCAGCTGGGGGTCCACTCCAGAGATAACACAGGGCTTCCCCCACCTCCCCTCCATCTACCCAAGCATCCTTGGAGTAAGGAAGTTCCACTGTCCCCTAGCCCAGGTGGAGAGCTCGCAAAACCCATGGAACAACTGACAGGGCCAACCCCTGGGAATGTGCGACCCTATGGGCAGGAACCTGGTCCCTGCCTGAGTGGCCGCAGGAGGTGGCTCCAGCCAGGGCTGGGGAATGAGGTCTGCAGGCTCCTGGGGCCTCTAGCAGACCCCTGAGGGAGGCAGTGCTGACAGCAGAAGCTAAGGGCGGGCTCAAACAGCCTGCAGCTCCCCCTGCAGGCGACTCAGCTCTTCTAGCTCCTGCTTGTGGCGGTCTGTCTTGTGGGTGACCAAGGAGCGGTAGAAATGCAGGGCAAAGGCCACAAACACAAGTCCTACAGGTACCATGATTGCTGTGGAAGCCATTGCTGCTTGCCAGCCTGGCCCATGGGTCCCATCACCACCGCACGTTTGCCGGGGCGGGCAGGCCCCGGAAGGCTTAGCCTGTGATGGGGCTACAGAAGCAGAGGATGGTGGGAGGTTAGAAGCTGGACCAAGGGAGGTAGCCGCTGGTGACAGAGTCCCAGGCACCTGGGACGGAGGAGGTATCACAGGGGCTGGTGTGTCTAAGGGGGCCCCAATGGGCACAAATTTGACCCAGCCCACCAGGACAACTTCAGCCAGGAAGAGAAAAGTGCCCAAGGCCGTGGAGAAGCCCCAGGCCAGCTCCACGTAGCGGTGGAGCCGCTGGTGTGGGGACTGGTGGACAGAATTGAGGTTGTGGATGTTGCTCACAGCTTCAATGTGGGGCAGTAGACACGTGGAGACCATGAGTGCAAAGAGGTGCACGGCCACGAGCACGGTGGTGCAGGCACTGAAGGCCACCAGCAGGCCCGGTGGGTACTCATGGTCGTTCTCCAGCTGCACCTCCACCATGGCCACCTGTGGGCACAAGAGGGAACAGACTGAATGCCAAACCCCCTTCATCATAGAGGTTTTTTTGTTTTGTTTTTGCCTATTAGGACACAATACCCTTATATCTCTAAGCCCCAGAACAATGTGCCTGACAGCAAAGCACTCAGTCTTAAAAGGCTTTGTGTCCTGTCCTGGACCTTGGTTCCCCCGTGCAGCCATCAAGAGGACTAAATGAATATCTGGGTGTAGTGGAACATTCCTACAATGCCAGCATTCAGAGGCTGAGGCAGGAGACTCTAAAGTTTGAGGCCAGCCTGGACTACATAGTAAGGCCCTGTCTCAAAAGGACAAAACAAATGCACATACACAGCAGGGATGGTGCGACCCGCTCTTAATCCCAGCACTGTGGGAGGTTGAGGCAGGACGATTGACAAGTCCGAGCCCAGTCTAGGCAACTTAATGAGGCCCTGTCTCACAAGAAAAAAGAACTAGTTCAGTGCGAAGGCCTTGAGTTCAATTCCTACTACACACATGTGCGCACAGGAGCAAACTGACATTTCTTACAGGTTTCCTTTTTTTTTTTGTCTTTTTGAGACAGAGTCTCACTACACAGTTCAGGCTGGCCTTGAGCTCACTTTATAGCCCAGGCTGGTTTCGAACTCGTAACGATCCTCCTGCCTTAGCCTCCGGAGTGCTGGGATTACAGGTGTGTGCCACCACACCGGCCGGGTTACCTTTTATTAGCAGAAAAAGCACACACTCCGGGCTGCCTGGGTTTATTCCCAGCTCTATAAATTGCAAGGATTTTTGCTTGTTTGTTTTGAGATGAGCTCTTGTTATATTGCCCAGGATGGTTGAGAACTCCTTCTGCCTCAGCCTCTTAAGTAGCTGGGGTCACGGGTGTGTACCACCACACCTAGCAAACTGTGTAATCTTTTTTTGAGTGTGTGGTGCTATAGATTGAACCACAATCTACAACTCTACTGCTGAGCTGGACCCCAGCCACAGATACGTGATCTTGAGCAGGTGACTTAGTTCTCCTTGTGCTTCAATTTGCCACCTGGAAAATGGGGATTAAAAATAGCACCTACTTGCCTTATGTGGTTGTTGGAGAAATTAAATGAGATAATACACATTGAGTGCTACAAATAGTGCTGGGAATATAGTAGGCACTAGGTGTTTGTTTTTTATTATAGATGATACTAAAATCCAAGGCCAGAGTTTGCAAGTTGGCACATTATGAACCAAAGCCAGCTAGCAGACATGTTTTGCTTGGCCCACACAATGTGCTTTTTAAAAAATTGAATAAATTGCCAGCTGGGGGTGGTGACGCACGCCTGTAATCCCAGCACTTTGGAGGCCGAGGCAGGAGGATCATTGAGAGTTCGAGACCAGCCTGGGCTACAAAGTGAGCTCAAGGCCAGTCTGAACTCCATAGCGAGACCCTGTCTCAAAAAGACAAAAAAAACAAAAAAAAAAAACTGAATAAATTGCCAACTTTTTTTTTGTTTTTTGAGACAGAGTCTCACTCTGGAGTCCAGACTGTCCTTGAACTCATTTTGTAGCCCTGGCTAGCCTTGAATCTGAGGCAATCCTCCTGCCTCAGCCTCCACAGCTCTGGGATTGCAGGGATCCGCCATCATGCCTGGAAAAATTGCCAAAACTTTGTTTTTTAAAAAAATTCTCTTTATTTAATAATCTTTTTTATTTAAAATACAACTCACTGAACATCCACATCAATACCAGAATCCTCAGCGTTCAGTAGTGCTTCGGAAGCCCAGCTTTCGGAGAATGAAACAGGAAGGCCTGTGTGGATAATGGCAAAGGATTCTATAGGAGAGGGCACACACCAAACAGCTGCAGGATTGAGTCCTGAGCAAACAGCACTACCATGGTGCACTTAGATCATGAACTGCCAACTTCTAAAACTCAAGACCTGGGCAGCGACACATGCCGGTAATCTCGGTACTGAGGAGGATGGGGCAGGAGGATGGCCTTGAGTTTCAGGCCAGCCTAGACTATGCACTGAGTTCAAGGTCAGCCTGGGCTACCCAGCAAGATCCTATTAAAAAAAAAAAAAAAGTACGGTTCATCGTTGCTGGGTGTGGTGGTGCACTCCTGTAATCCCACCACTCAGTAGGTTGAGGCAGGAGGCTCACCACAAGTTCTAGGCCAGCCTCAGCTACATAGCAAGCTCAAGGTGAGCTTGAACTGTATATCGAGAGCCTAACTCCAAAAACCAAAGGAAAAAAAATACCTTAAGAAATTTCATATACTCCTTTTTGTTTGTTTGTTTGTTTGAGACAGGGTCTCACTATGCAGGCTGGTCTCTAACTCACAATGATCCTCCTGCCTCAGCCTCCCGAGTGCTGGGATTACAGGCGTGTGCCACCACGCCTGGCAGCAATATTCCTATTATGAGATTCTCCTGAAAATGTGGGAGACCTGGTTACCCCAGGCGCACATTCTTGTGTGATGACTGTTACTTAAGAGTTGAATCACGGTGCTTTACTTTGGATAGTTCACGGGGTCTTTTGATCAAGTCCCATTTGGCCAACTTGGCATTCATATTTCCTGCCTGGCCTCTGCAATCATTTGAATTGATGACTTTGTTCTAGGTGTGTATAAATTTGGACTCTAGAGCCACACTGCTTAGATAAAAATCCTGCCACTTATTCATTCCAGAACCTTGGGCAGGTACTCTAACATCTGTGATTCAGTTTCCCTATCTATGACAATGGCCACTGTAGTGGTACTTGTTTCATAGGAATAAAAGAAAGATGCAGTCTCTGAGCACAGTTCCCGGTACTTAGTGATAGCAGAATATAGTTTGTGGGACGTTATTCTATCTAGCTCAGGCCCCATAAGCTTCAGAAGCTGGATCTTCCCCTTCCCTGGTTCTTGCAGAACCCATTAGATCGCTCTGGGGCTGGGGCTGGGGCTGGGAGAGGGGAGATACACAGCCTGGCAGAGATGGCAGGAAGACAAGGCTGAATATTTTGGGAAATTGGGCCATGGTGGATGTCAGCAGGTGTTTTCCAGAAAAAGGGATCTGGGCCAAGCTTGTTAGTCCTGGTTTCTCCCAGGGCCTGGCCCAGCCTTGTTATTCCGTACCAGCTGGGGTCAGTCCTGCCTCCAGAACCTGCACATCCAGCCTCTTGATCCTGCAGGTAAGGCCTTGGCCCTCCAGCTGTCACCCCAGCAAACTGAAAGCTGTGTAGCAGGCCAGATTATCCTCCAGGCTGCACACTGGGCCACGGGGCTGACCCCTCTCAGAGAGGTTCCTTGGTGACTATTCCCTTTCCTGTGTGGTCTGTGCAGATAAGAGAGCCAACTCCCAGCCGGAAGGTATAAACCTCATAATTCGTTCTTCTTGGTACCAGGAATCAAACTCAGGACCTTGCACTTGCCAGGCAGGCACTGTGCTGCTGAGCTATATCCCCAGCCCCCCATCTTCATAGTACTACGGAGTGGGCTGGTCTGTGGGTTCTGGGAAGCCCTGAAGAACACTTAGATCTAGGACAGGGCTGGCAAACCCTTTAGAGTTTTCAATGATACAAACAGCCGGTTGTAGCACGTTGTACCATAGGTTTGCCACCACCGGTCTAGGATGACCCTTAGGGTATAGATGTCCCCTGTCATCCCTCTCAGATACACCGGCTGTGGGACAGAGGAGCAGGAAGTAACCCAAATCACCTAATGCTTGCCTTTGATATCCACCCATACAGGAGCAGGTTCCTAAAGGAGCCCCTCCTGCCCACTTTCTCCCCCCGCCTGCGATGACAGTGGGGAAACCCTAGACAGTGATGGCAAGTGAAGGCATTCGCACCGCCGCAAGCTGTATCACTGAAAGCTCTAAAAGATTTGCCATCCCTGCCCTGCACTAATAGAGCTTCCTTCTACACCTTTGCCCTGCTGAGAATCCTTGGCAGAGCCTCCGTTTCCACACCTGTCCCGCTGGCATGTTGGTCTGAGCCACACCTCGTGTGGAGGTCTTGCTCTGACACGCCTGGATCTAGGGTTCCTGATGACAAGAGTTACAGCTCATGCTGGGCGGGTGCCTGCCGGGCTACAGAAGATGCACCCTACCTACACGATCTTAGAGCTTCCCACCGGCCAGAGAGGGAGTGGAGGCCTGTCCCTGGGCCACACTACTGGCCACTTGCAGGGAGAAGCCAGGACTTAAAATCTGTTGATTCTGCGCCCCGGGACCTCCCTCAGTCCCACTTCCTGAGGATACTGCTGGGACCGTTAGCTGCTATCGTCCTCCTACACCTGCAGCTTATCAGCTTGCCTATCAGTCATTGGGGTTCCCTCCCCAGCGGCTTCCCCCACAGGCATTCATCTCTTCTCGGGGTGTTCCTGACTCTAGCACCCCTCGAGTCTGCTAGGGAGTAGCCCCCTTTCTTGGGATGAGTTCCCCTCCAGGGAGGTGACGCTTCCCTGCAATTTATTCCCCCTGCCCCGCTACTCCGTGGATAGAGCCCTCAGCCAGCTCTGATTTCCCGTTGAAACTTTCAGAACTCAGTAAGCACTTCTGCCGGGATTTACCCCGCTCTCCACACCTTTGGGATTAATCTTCCTACAACCCAGTTTATATTCCCGGGGTCCTGTTTACACACACCCCCCCCCGGATAGAAAAGGACTTCAGTCTCTTGGGCAGTTGGCTCCATTCACCCCTTGGTGCGCCCACCTTTCCCTGTGCTCTACCTTCTCTTGCTCAGAGCCCCGTCCACTTCGCCCGGACCCGTGCCCCAGCCCTGCGGCCCCTCACCATGGCGAAGCCCGACAGCAGGGCGGACGTGCGGCTGGAGGCCTTGAGCTTGGCCCGGCTGAGGTAGAGGCGGCGCCAGCTGAGCGCCCGCAGCGAGTGCTGACTGGCCCCCATGAGGTCCAGGTAGCCGCGGTGCACGAACTCCCGGTACGTGGCCGAACCCGCGGGGCTCTCGACCTCAGGGTTCAGCGGGGCCTGCTCGGCCGCGTCCCCCTCGCCGCCCCTCATTCTGCGGATGGTCACAGTGGGACCGCAGCACCGCGGGTACCCGGGAGATTCGGCCCAAGCCTGGGGATTGGCCCCATTCCCCGGCGGGAACGCAGTGGCACGGCCGGCAGGACGCGGCCCCGCCGGCGTCTGGGGCAGCCCCGATGGCCGGAGCGGGACGGCCGCGATCGGAACAGGAACTGGGGCAGAGGCGGAGCCAGGCGACCACATGACGGGGTGGAGCCGGGAACGAGCCCCCGCGTCCCGGCCGGAGGCGTAAGTCCCGGAGGACCCCGCATCCCCATCTGCCAAGCACAGCCCGGCGCCAACGCCTCGGGGAGGCGAGCGCCCAGCCCCGGCCGGCATCACGGGAGCAAGCCACACCGGCAGATCATCAGGTACCCAGAACCCCAAGCCCCTCCCCAAGGAGCGAGCTCGGAAAAGTGAGCCTGTGCTTCGCAGGGACCTCACCAGATCCCCTCCAAAAGCCTCACCTCGCCCACACACACACGAACTCGGCGGTCCCGGCTGGAAGTTCGAGTTTTATAGCAAACCATATTGTACAGACCCGGGACCCAGGGGCCCAACCCGGCTGGGTCCCCCGCTCGCCCTCGCCGGGCTGCCTCGTCCCCCTCCCACAAGTGGCCTCCTCAAGCATTTCGCCATCCCCAGGGCCCCCTCCCCTCCGGCCTTTGGTCCGCCCAGTCCCTCCCCCCACCCTCGCGCCTCCCCGTTACCTGAGGTATGTGGATAGATCCCCCCCACGGTACAACCCGGCTCCCCCAAAGCCTGGGCTGGGGGCGGGACCGGGCCTCGACTCCCCCTTGGCTCCCCAAACCCCACCCCTACACGGGAGCAAGGGGCGGGGGAGAGGAAGGCCGAGAGAATCTGTTACTAAGTTCCCATGGCAACTAAGAAGGGCCATTTCCAGGCTTAGCACTGGCATAGGGAGGTGTCCGTTGGCTGCTGTTTCCATGGCAACCAGGAGTGGCAGTTCCCTGGGCAAATGGGTTATGTGTTTCCATGACGATGAGAGTGGGAAGAGCCAAACTGGAGGAGTCCCATCTTCCCCATCCTTGGGTTGACACACCACAGCCCCAACTCAGGTCTGCAGGGGCGGAGCTGCTCCAGAGAGCCGGGGTGGCACAGTCCAAGCTGGGTGCCACCACCGGTCCAGTCTCAGTCCAAGCTGGTCTCGTCTCATCCCACTCGGGCTCCCCCAGGTCCAAGGTTCCCCCGGTTCAAGTAACACTTCAGTACAGATGAATGTTCAAGTATTGTGCGGAGAGGTCGGCGGGGGCTGGGGTACCCCTCACCACTCCCCTGGGCCACGAGCTGAACGGCAGGTAGGCCCACAGCCCCACTCCTCGCAATAGCTGCCATTTTCAGTGACGTTCAAGGAGTCAGGGGCGGGGGCTGACCCCCACAGTGGGCCATTATTGCCCCCACACCCACTTTGTCCCTCAGCCTGGCTCCCCAGGTCCCTCTACCTCTGACGCCTGGATCCCCAATTGCTCCTCTGGTTTCCCTTTTTGCCCACCCCCCCAAGTATCTGGTCTTTGTTCCCTGAACCCTTGGTGGTCTGCTTGCTGCCCCTCCCCCCCTCCTCCACCTCCCCCAGGCCCAGGCTCCCAGGATCCTGTGTGCAGGTACCCTCGTCCCCTTCTCCCTCCCTCAGACTTGCACTTTAACCCCCCTCCCACCATCCCTTTGGCTCAGCACCCCCAGGACCTCTGACCCACTCCCCCAGGGGATGGACAATGAAGCAGGCGGAAGGGGGAGGAGATGGGAAGGAGACCCCCAGAGATATCAGTGCAGGGGGAAGAGACGGAAGAGGCTGGCTCCAGTCCCTGGGGAGGAACCCCAAGTCATGAGGTGGGTCACCTGGCCTCTCAGCAGGGGGGAAATGAAGGCCCGAGGCCCAGGCTCCCAGTGAGTCCTGGGGGCGGGTGGGGGCACCCAACTAGCTGTCCTTGAGAAGCAGTTTCTCCTCCGGGCAGCGGAAGGGGCCAGGGGGCCCAGCAGCTGCCAGCCGGGCACAAGCTTCAGGAGAGAGCTGGCGGCAGGAGCGCAGGTCGAGGCGGCGGAGACGCGGGCAGCGTCGGAAGAGCGGGAGGCAGTGGTCCGTGAGGCGGTGGCAACCTGGGAATGGGGCAGTGGCAGCTGAGACCAGGCAGGTAAGCAGGCAGGAGACGCCGGCCACGGAGACCGGGAAGGCTCCCCGGACGGACAGGGGCCGGGCTTACCGGCGAGATTGAGGTGTACCAGGGTCTCTCGGAGCGGGGAGGTGGGAGCTGTGAGGAGGTGGACGCTGGGGTCTCCGACGTGGGCGCAGTGGCTCAGATCCAGGGCGCTCAGCTGGGGCGCGTGGCGCAGCAGGAGCCGCAGGGAGGCGTCTGTGAGCTCCAGGCCCGCCAGGCGCAGCTCGGCCACCCCCTGCAGCCGCCCACGGCTCTCCGTTTGCCCTGGACAGAGCAAGAGAGATAGGCACTCATGGCCACTCCCATCCCTACACCCAGACCACCGTGTCCCCACTCATGTTCCTCACCACCCGCCAAACCTGCCGCCGCCGCTCAGGAGCCTCAAGTGGCCCCGTCCTCTGCATGGCTTGCTCTTCTCCCCAGTGCCCACGCCTCTCCAGGCTCCCGTCACCACCTCGGTGAGGCCTGCAGAGACTGCTCCTGCAGTGCTCCCCACGCCCCTACCTTCCTGCCCTTCCCCTTTGTGGCTGGCATGTCATATACATTTCTTCACATTAACCTTCCTCTCCTCGCGAGAACAGGAGGTCCACGAAGGCAGGGCTTTTCCTCACTGCTGCAGCCTCAGCAACGGACACAAAGCAGAGTGCCCAACGTATTTCCATCCACTCACTCAACACAGCAATCCTTAAGAGGACACAGCCCCACACCACCCCTTCCTCCTCCCATGACTACACTCTGGTCACCTGGAGCGCTCCAGTCCCCTTGGTCACCACTAGGTCCACAGCACTTTTCTGAACCGCTCAGTCCTCTCCTTCCAGTCTCTCCAGGCACTCGGAGAGAACTTGTTTCAAACACCAATGGGGCAATTTCCCTCCTCCACTAAAAACAGAACAGCTCAAAGAAATCCAGTCTCGGAACTAGGGATTTAGCTCAGCAGCACAGCGCCTGCCTGGCAAACACGAGGTTGCGAGTTCAATTCCCAGGAAAGAAAGCAAGAAAGAAAGACAGACAGACAGACAGAAAGAAAAAGGAAGGAAGGAAAGAAAAGAAAAGAAAGAAAGAAAAAGAGAAAGAAATCCAGTCTCCTTGGTTGTAGAACATTCCATTTCTATCAGGTCTCATCCCTGGCTCAGCTGCTAACAGCTCTCCACCCCAAACACGAGGTTATACTCCACAAGTGGTTCTGCATGAGAAACTGTGCCCATGCCCAGCTTTCAGGTCTGAGCTCAGAGGCCTCCTCCCTGAATCCAAAGCACACAGTCTGCCCTTTCCCCTCTGTGCTGGGAGGCTAGGCTGCAGGCTCCACCCTAGAGTTCTAATAGTGTCTACTGTGAACCCTTCAGGTTGGTTTTTCTTTTTTAAATTTTTTTGAGACAGGATCTTGCTTTGTAGTGCAGGCTGGCCTTGAACTCGGGATCCTCCTGCCTCAGCCTCCTGAAGCTTGTGGTATTGCAGGTATGCGCCACCACACACAACAGGGTTTACTTTTCTGATCAGGTCTCCTGATATTGATGCCACTGGGCCGAAGATCAAACTGTAAGAACGCCAGCCTTGGGAGACAAGTTCTCTAATCATCATCCCTGTTAACAGACGGGAAAACTGAGGCTTGTACCATAAAGCCTTCTGTCCAAGATCACACGATTAGGAAATAATGGAACCAAAAAACCCAGGCCTGGTGACTACATCCAATCTTAACACAAGGCTACCTGCTTGCCAGACAGCAGCCTGGCCCTGACAGAAACTCCATCAGATGCCAGATTTACGAAACCTGCCTCCAGGCACTTTATGAAATCTGCACAGGACTGAATTCTTCTCGAATGACTGTCAGGCATCCCTGGGCTCCCAGCTTACCTGGGGACTACTGGCTGCAGCAGGCCCGCTAGTGCCACTCCCTGACCTGCACCAACGTATCACTTCTGTTACACGCCAGGCCACCTCTGTGTATGCTCAACCTGGCATAGCCTAGCTCAGTGTGGCAAACCTATGGCACGCGTGACAGCGACCAGCTGTTTGTCACTGAAGGCTCTGAAAAGTCTGCCATCACTGCCCAAGATTCTGTTCTCTCTTCCTGGTCCTAGGAGCTGACAGTCTGGAGAGGGGGAACATCTGCAGATGCCCTCAATTTTGATCACAGCTAACCGTCACTGGAGCAAAGAGAGTCACCTGCGGCCTGGCAGTGTGGAGCGGGCATCAGTAAGGGGGTGCTGGTGCTTAAGCTGGGCCTTCGAGGTTTACAGTGTACCAGTGTGGGAGAGGAATACAGGCAAAGGGCAAAAGCCGGGAAGTAGAATTGTACTATTGCTATGGTAATCCTGCTGGAGGCCAGGGAGCCAGGAGAGAGGAGAGGTGTGTGAAGGCCTAAGTTGCACAACAAGCCTGAGGGCCAGGAAAGCTCCTTTTTGCAAGCTCAAGACAAAGGGCTTGAACTGAACTGAGCACAAAAGAAGAGGTGCTGGTCTGTTAGCCAGCTGGAACTGTCTCACCTCATGAAACACATGGTCTCAATCCCTACCTCACACCCTCCTGTCTTTCTGGCTTAGTCTAATTCAGTAAGAGTGGATAACAGGTAATGCTGCAGCCTAGCTCTGCCTTTGGGACTGGCAATAATCACTCACCTCAGTCAGCTGGGTCTGCGTCCTTCATCTAGAAGATGGGGAGACTCCTGACCCCTACCCCCCACAAGGGCTGCTGTAAAGAGCAGTAGGGCAGGAAAAAGGGAGCCAGAAAGAGTGCTACGAAGGAGTGCTGAGAAGGAAGACCCTTTTACTCTGCCAAGAAGTCCCCTGTGGGAACTCACCCCTCAAACTGGATCTCTCCCATCCTGATTGTCTATTCATTCGATTCTTTCTCACAAATACTAAGTAAGGGGCTAGGGTGAGCAGACAGGCTTTGCCTAAGAGCCTAGCAGAGAGGACGCTGACCTTCAGCAGCATACCTGCACGGTAATATGCGAGGAAGGAGGGAGAGGGGCAGTCGGGAACTTCTAGGAAGAGGCCTTTATGCTGAGGCCTGACAAGAGGTTTAATGCCAGCTAGAGAGGTGGAGGAGGACAGCATAAGAGGCAGAAAGAGGACTGGGGAAGGCCTTAGGCTGCAAGACAGAGCTAGTAGTCAGTGCGAGCCAGACTATACCAGGTCTCAGCAACGGGGTGAAGACACTGGCCTTATCCAAGGAGTACTGGGGATGGTGACTGTTTAGAGCACAGGGTGGACATGGGCACACACCCTTCTGGATGGTTCCCCTGGTTCCAGGGTGGAGAAGTGACTATTAAGAGCCAGTGAGGATGCAGCCGGTACCCCCCATCTCCTGCCTTTCCAAAGAGCCCTGAGGCCCCAGGGCCCCTGTCCCTCCACCTTCGTAGGACCCCGGGGTGATCAGGCCTCTGCCCCCAGCACCGGCTTCTGCCAGCATGGGCCTCCTGCCCCACCAGTCTGCTCAGATCATGCCTCATCCTCCCTGGGAACACACTGTCCTTCCAGGACTCAGTTCAAAGCACACAGCACGAGCGAATGAACCAACAGCAGCAGGAAGGGCCTCTCTTCAACTCATGCACTCCTCCCTATCTTCCAATTCTTGAACACCCAGCATGAGTCATGAAAGACCTGGAGAGACCACACCCTCATCTTGCCAACCCATTCCACAGATGAGCACACAGACGCTGCACCTGGTTTGGTGTCTGGTGGAGGCAACAGTAGCTCTCGGAGCTGGGAGTCTTTCACATCCTCAATCCAGCGGAGGTCCAGGAGCCGAAGGGCTGGCAGTGGGGCTGAGCCCAGGGCAGAGACAGACAGCCAGGAGCAGCCGGAGAGCACCAACTCCTGCAGGCCTGGTATGTGTGTTGTGGGGGTGGGTCAGAAAGCAACGCAGTGAGTCTCCAACTTACACACATTCAAGCAGCAAAGTTTCACGGATATGAATGGACATCACATTTGGGTTTTTACGCGTTACAGTGTGTATCTGTGGGAAAGGGACACAGGACCCCTGGCAGACTTATGAATGAATCCAACTTAACATTCTCCCGGGACGGAGCTCATCTGTATGTCAGGGACTCCGCCCCTGGCCTGTCCCTGTGCCTGTCCTACCCACCCTACCTTGCAGTCGGTTCAGAAGCCACATGAGCTGCTTCTTGGAGACACCTGTCCAGCTGAGGTCCAGGGCCCGGGGCTGGCGGCGAACCACCCCACTAAGCATGGGCGGTGTCAGTGACTTCCGCCTGCTCAGGTCCATTCGAGGCCACAGACGCTTGTCGTAGCACCTGCCAGCCACAGGGAGGAGACAGAGACAGCCTCAGCTCTTGGAGAAACCACACCACCCACGCTCCCAGCAGTTCGCTGTAGTTCCCTGGCATCGAGAAGCTCCGGGCTTGAGGCCAAGAGCACTGGGTTTGGGACCCAAGTTCACCACTGACTGGATGCAAGACCCTGGGCAAGTCTGTTCCTCTCCCTGGACCTCAGAGGTCTCTTTTATGAAAGGAAGATAATAACCCAGACTGCCCCCACGGGGAGTGTTAGATCAAATTAGGTAATTACACACTGCGGGCCCCACAACTTACAAAGGGTCTTGCCAAATAACTACACGAACACCGGCTACACTTTTGATGTGAGGCCAAAGGGATCTGGGAGCAGCCCCCAGCTCCCTGCCTTCGGGCTCCCTGACCTGCCTGTCACCGTTTATGGTGGCTCACGCACGTCTCATCTCCTCTACTCATCGCTGCCACCTCAACAGCCAGTGCTGGACTTACAGCCTGATCTGTTCTTTCTCCGATTACTGTGCCCTCTAGTCAGACCGTAAACTCCGCAAGGATAGACTCAGCTTTTTTCTCCTCTACACGTCCAATATCCCGACACTCCCGGGCGTAAGACACAGGTTACTTGTTGCACATCCACAGAAGAATGAACTAAACTAGTGCAAACTGCTTAGTGCGTCCACTGAGCTGCCCCTAGACACCTCCTTTGTGGCTCTGCATTCATTCACTAAATGTTTATGGAGGACCTAGCAGGTCCCAGGTACTGAAGCTACAAAAAAGAAATGAGGTCTGAACAAAGTTAAGACAGGTTTCCCGACCCCAGCACTCCAAGAGCCTCAACCAGTCCAACATCCTGTGAATGAGAGAAGGGTTTGCCAAACTTACTTCACCATGGAACCCTTCCCCACCTCTCCTAAGGTGGTCAGAATTACAGCACACTAAAGTATCTTGGATTCAGTTTGAGAACTGTCTTCTAGTTCATCAGTTATCAAAGGCATGTCAGGAGATTCCCACTGAACTGAACGGGCTGTCAGAACCAACAGGTGGGCCTGGAAGAGCGCTATGCCTTCCTTCACACTCCTCACGACTCTACAAGACTGTCCCTTCCAGCCCCAGGCTGGAGCAGAGATATCCAAACTGCACTCATTTACTCTCCTCTTATGTGCAGAACATGAAATTTACCTTCAAATTATCCACTCTTCACTTAAAATCAATTATTGTTTTAATACAGACAGGATTAAGCCATGATTTTGTGACACTTAAAACTGCAGGCAGGCCGGAAGTGGTGGCACACACCTGTAATCCCAGCATTAGGGAGGCTGAAGCAGGAAGATCGCCATGAGGCCAGCCTGGGCTACATGGCAAGACTCTGTCTAAAAAAAAAAACTGCCAAGCAGCCAGACATGGTAGTGCACACCTGTGATCCCAGCACTTGAGGGGCGGACCAGGAGGATCACAAGTTCTTGGCCAGTGAGTTCAAGGCCAGCCTGAACTATGTACATAGCAAGACCCTGTCTCAGAAAACCAAACAATCAACCAAACAAACCAAACAGTAAATAAATAAAAACAGCCTGGCAAGGTAATATGCACTTGTAATTCCAGCTACTCAGGAAGCACAGGCAGGAAGAGTGCTAAAGCACGTAAGTTTGGGCCAGATTGGGCACATGGCTACTCAAAAACGAACAAAAACTGCCAAACACACTCCGGAGCCCTTATGTGACATTTCAGTGAATAGTGGAAGTATTCATCTAGGCTTCAGTCAGAACAAAACTCCTCTGCTACCCACTTTCCTGTCCCCTCCGATCATTCCCCACCCCACCCCACCACTTTCATCTCTCTCCCTGATTCCCTCCACTCAATAAACATTTGTAAATCTTTCCAATTTTAAGGATGTAAAGTGAAAGCTGGGCATGATGGCAGACACCTGTAATCCCAGCACTCAGGGAGGCTGAGGCAGGAGGATCACTGTGAGTTTGTGGCCAGCCTGGGCTACAAAGTGAGCTAAAGGGAAGCCTGAACTGCATAGTGAGATTCTGTCTCTAACAGACAAAAAAACAAAAACAAAAATAAGCCCTGCAAAAAATCCAAGGCCAGCCTAAACTACACAGTGGGATCCTGTCTCAAAAAACAAAAAAGGGCCGGGGATATAGCTCAGTGGCACAGTGCCTGCTTGGCAAGTGAAAGGTCTTGAGTTCAATTCCTACTACAAAAAAAAAAAAGAATGAAAAATGGAGGAGCTGGGTGATGGTGCATGCCTGTAATCCCAGCACTCAGGAGGCTGAGGCAGGAGGATCATTGTGAGTTCAAGACCAGCCTGGGCTACAAAGTGAGCTCAAGGCCAGCCTGAACGGCATACCAAGACCCTATCTCAAAAAGACAAAAAAAAAAAAAAAAAACGTGAAGGAGCCGGGCATGCTGGTACATGCCTATTATTTCAGCACTCTGAAGGCTGAGGCAAGACCACTCCAAGTCTGAGGCCAGCCAGGCTACATAGCGAGTTTAAGTCGGCCTGTACTACACAGAGAGATCCTAGCTCAAAAATAGAAAAAATAAAATAAAATAAAAAGTGGAGGAAAAAATGCACTCTCAACCCAGCCTCTACTCCTTTTCTCTTTCCATTCAGTGAACTGCTGGACGCAAAGCCTCTCCCTGTCCCCTCTGACTCAGTCCTTGGGGTCAAATGCTACCACTTCCTCAGAGCCTTCCCTTGGTTATCTTCTTTGTTTATTTTAAGACAGGGTCTCACTATGCCGTTCAGACTGGCCTGGAGCTCACAGCAATCCTCCTGCCTCAGCCTCCTAAAGGCTGAGATTACAGAAGTACACCACCACGTTGGGCCATTCATCCTATTATAACAGTGGTGATACTGACTACAGCACGAACGACATGTTTTTCCCAAGGTTTACTACATGCCAAGTACTGTTCTTTGCTTTAAAGATTTAATCTCACAATAGCCCTAGAACATTTTCATTTTCCTTCTTCTTACAATTACAAAAGTTAAAAACTTGTTCAACGAGGGATGATGACACATGTAATTCCAACACTGGGGAGGCTGAGGCAGGAGGATCACTGTGAGCTCACTTTGGGCTACAAAGTGAGATCAAGGACAGCCTGAACTGCATAGTGAAACTCTTGTCTTCAAAAAGACGAGAACAAAAACAAAACTTGTTCAGCCAAGTGAGGTGGTACATGCCTGTAATCCCAGCAGCTGGGAGGCTGAGGCAGGTGGATCAACTAGCCTGGGCTACAGAGCAAGACTGTTTCAAAAAAAAAAAGCAAAAAATTCATTACTGAGCAGTAGCGGGGTCTGGGCAGAGACCTGGAACTCTATATACAAAGAGCCAAGGGTGAGGCTCACCTCCATGCAGTCTGGCTTTGGTCCAATCTACTCAAACGAAGCACAGAAACACCAAGACCTTCTTGTAGCAAAATTCAACTACCACCTCCTGGTCCTTATCTCCCATGACCTCTCGCAGTTATCTACCCTGGCTCACCCACCCTTTCTTCCCTTCCCCTCCCCTACTCGACCTCTCTTCTCTTTAAAGCACATCTCCATCCTTGATCTCCTCCAATTCTTGGGTTGCTCTTTCTCTAACTCACGAACACTAACATCCTTCCTCCTCTCTCTCCACTGAAGCCGGTCCCTATAGGCTGGAAACTGCCCAGCACGTATCTTTCTGTTAGGCGCTGAGTCAGCAGCTCCAAGTGCTGTTCCTGCTCTACCTTACTGGCCCACCTGCCTTTCACAGGTCAAATCTGAGTTCTTCACTTTCCCCGGAGCCCACACCTCTGATCCCCAAGTTTGGGGAAGGATACTGTTTCTCATCCAGCTCCTATGCTACAATCTCAACTAAGATTTCCCCAGTTATACCCATAGCTCGTGAGTCACAACACCCAAGCCATTCTTTTTTTTTGGTACTGGGAATCAAACTCAGGACCTTGCCCTTGCCAGGGAGGCGCTTGTGCCGCTGAGCTATATCCCCAGCCCTACAAGCCATTCTTATACATGAAAAGTTCTTAGCTAGGCGTGGTAGCAGATGCCTATAATCCCAGCACTAGGGAGGCTGAGGCAGGAGGAGCGCTGTGAGTTTGAGGTCAGCCTGAACTGCACAAGGAAAGCCTGTCTCAAAAAGACAATGAATGAATGAATGAATGAATATTCTCAACCCAAGCCCCACCCCACCACATCTGCTACTACACGCAACCTGGCAAAACCTCCTATTTGTCCCATACTATGGCCCCTTTAGGCTCTTGCTCTGCCCTCCCCTCCCCTCTCTCCCTAAAAAGCACCATTTTATGGAGCATTTAGTACCCTCCAGGCACTGTGCTAAGCAGCACTGTGCTAAGTATTTTGCCGGAACCACCTCATTTAATCTGCATCAAGTAAATACAATTGGCCCTCTGCATTCATGGGTTCCACATCTGCCACCACCTGCAGATTAAGCATATTCAAAATATACTACCAGCTATTTAGGATGCTGAGGCAGGAAGGTTACAAGTTCAAGTATAGCCTGGGCAACTCAGACCTTGTCTCAAAATAAAACACAGAAAGGCTATGGGTACAGAATAGTGACAGAGCACTAGCCTAGCATGTGTGAGTCCCTGGCTTCCCTTCCTAGCACCACCAAAAAAACTTGAATGAATGAATAAATGAATAAATGAAAAAAGAAAGAAAAAGAAGTAAGAAAATATACCAAAACAATTACACCTATATTGAACATATTCACATCTCTTTTGGTTCTTGCTCTCTAAACAGTACTCACTATTTACACGGCATTTATGTTAGGTATCATAAGTAATCTATGGGTGTTTTAAAGTAAGTGGGAGGTGGGGCTGGGGATTTAGCTCAGCGGCAAAGCGCCTGCCTGGCAAGCGCAAGGTCGTGAGTTCGGTTCCCAGTACCGGAGAAAAACCAAAAAAAAAAAAAAAAAAAGATAGAAGTAAATGGGAGGGCTGGGCATGGTGGCACATGCTTATAATCCCAGTACTTGGGAGGCTGAGGCAAGAGGATTGCCACAACTTTGTGGCCAACCTGGGTTAACATAGTGAGTTCAATCCCAGCACGCGGGAGGCTGAGGCAGGAGGATTGCTTTGAGTTCGAGGGCAGCCTGGGCTACATAGTGAGTTGAGGGCCAGCCCAAACTGCATAGTGAGACCCTGTCTCAAAAAGACAAAAAACCCCCAATACATAGTGAGTTCAAAGTCAGCCTAAACCGCATATTCTTTTCTCTTGTCCTTTCCTGTCTCTCTCCCTCTCCTTCCCTCCCTCTTTCTTTTCTTTCTTAGCTTGCTTCTTTTCTTCTTTCTTTCCTTCTTTCTTTTGGCTGGGATTACTTATAGGCATGTGCTACCACACTGGGCCAAAACGCCTATTTCCTGAGATCTCCTCTCAAAAAACAAAACAAAACAAAACAAAACAAAATAAAGTATATGAGACGGCCAGCGATATAGCTCAGCGGCACAACACCTGCTTGGCAAGCACAAGGTCCTGAGTTCAATTCCCGGTACTAAAAAAAAAAGTATATGGGAGAATGTGCATAGGTTAAATCCAAGTATTGGTACCAATTTACACAGAAGACTTGATCATCTTTAGATTTTAGTGTGTGTGTGTATCTCAGAGCAAATCTCCGTGGATACTAAGGTAAGACTCTTATTAATGTTTAGAGACAGGGTCTTCCTCTGTAGCCCAGGTGACCTGGAACTTGCCTTCATCTTTCTGCCTCAGCCTCTGCACCACTGTATTAAAATGACCCCAGACTACAAATGAGAAAACTAGGGTCTTTTGAGGTTTAGCCATAGAGGTCACAACTGATGAAACCTGTAGGTGCCAGGTGCCAGGGCTCATGCTGGAAACCACTGCAATCCAGTGTCTCTGCTTTGTCCACTGGTCTCTGAGGCAGGAATCAGGGCCTTTCCAGTTTTGGGTCTCACGTGCCAAATGCAGAGCTGGCCTTGAAGGGGCCTCACATTTTCTCACTTAACACTGTGAGGAGGGTAGTCATTCCCAGCAATTTCTGTAACTATCTGCTTCTATGTTGCAGATTGACTGGAAGGCTGACTTTCAGTAAGTACTTGTAACTGATTTACAACAATGACCACATTAAGGCCCTGAACATTTTCTACTTTCCCAGTACTCTGACCAGATCTCTATGTGCCCTGGCACACAAACCCACTGGGTGACAGCTTTGATTATCTGGAGTTTACAGATAATGAAACTCAGGCATGGGGAAGCTAAAAAACTAACCCAAGGGCATAGGGCTCCTCGCAGGAAGAACAAGAACCTTCCACAGGCGATTTGCCTCCAGAGCTTGCACTCCAGTTCCCGGGGCTAAGAAGAGATCAGCAAGCAGGCACTCGCCCTCCAGAACTGGTGCCTAGAAAAGAGCTCTGGAGTTCGGTTCAGCCACTAACTCGTACTGTTGCTTCAGGAGTCCCCTGCTCCCTCACAGAGCTGCTATTAGAGGAACAAATCAGCTAACAGCTGTGAAGTGCTCAACGGGCAGCTTAATCCACAGTGAGCGCTGGGAAAGAGCTTGAATTTTCTCATTAAACATTTCTAGAGCATCTACACTGCCCTTTGTCTCATGCTGGGGACATGAAGATAAAATAGACACAGTACCCATCCCTGCCCCAGCAGCTGATGGACATGAAAATCAGTAAATGAAGGCTTGTCAACATACTGAAGGCCGCTGGGTGCTCCAGGAGAGGAACAGGGTGCTGGGGGATGGAGAGGAGAAGGAATCCTGTTGGGGGCGGATCAGGGAGACAAGAGGCTTGGGAGGATGACAGACATTTCTGACCAAGGTTCAGGAGGCAGTAGGGGTGAGTGGGGACTGCGCTGGAAGGTCCGGGTATAGTTACCTCAGAGTTGGGGCTACCCCAGGGCAGGACCTTCTCCTATTTAAAGGGGATCAACAGACTGTCCTCAGAAAAGAGAGCATGAAAAGTCAGGTAACACGTTACAGCACACATCACATTGGACAGCACACTCAGCACACACTAGGCACTCAGTATAAACAGCTATTATTAAGGGGAAGGATGCTGAAGCCAGAGAGCTGAGGTTCAAATTCCTGGTCCCGCCACTTTCCACATCACCTTGGGCCTCAGCTTCACCCGGAACCGGGGACCGATTCCTCCTCACGAAGCTGCTGTGAGGGCTAAGGGGGCTCCTGAGTGGAAGGCAGCCTGTGTGCAGTAAATACGAAGCACACACTACCATACACACTGTAGAAGTACAAGGCCCAGGCAGGATTAGATACCTTCTGCAGGTCACGCAGCAAGTGAGAAGCGTGTCAGCAATGGAACTCAGGCCTGTCCAGCCACTTACCAGCGGCTCCAAGTCCGGCAAACTCGCATGCAGACACACAGCTCTCGGGGCCCGAGGTGCTGGAAGACGCGAAGCCAGGCAGCCCGGGGCAGAGGGTGGTCGGATCCAGCAGCCAGAGGCAGCGTGTCAGGCTCAGGGCTCCGAGGGGGAGGGCGTACCACATGCCGCTCCAGCTGCGGAGGCCGGGGTGGTGGAGCCGGGCCCAGGGGCCAGCTGAGCAGGGGTCCCCCACTGCCAGGGCGCACAGCCCGCCGCCCCCCACGGTTCTCTTTCTCGCCAGAGCTGCCCCGGGCCGGCCGTCGCCCATTCCGGGCCTCGCCGGGGGCCTCATCCTCACTCAGCGATGTGCCTGATGAATCGGAATCTGAGTCTGAGTCCGAAGAGGACGAAGAGGTGTCAGGCACCCGCTCCAGTAGCTGGCACATCCGCTTGAAACGTTCCAGCTTCTCTCTCTGGGGCGATGGGGACGGCACCGCTGGGCCCTCAGCGGAGGCCAAAGGCGGCTTTGGTTTCTGCAAAGAGACAGGCTAAGGCTGTTCTAGGGCCCAGGACATACTTTCCTATCCGCCCCCCACCCACGAGGAGTGACCAGGGGAAGAACAGCCCAAGGGACAGTCCTGAGTTCCACACTGCTCCTGAACAATGTGACACCTTGGCCACCTCTGGACTTCAGTTTCCTTATCTGTACTGTGAAGGTGCCACTTCCAAGGATTTAGAGCCTTACGGCTTCCAACGGCTTGTGCACTTCCCAAAGCAGAGAGATACTGAGAGAAGTTCGGCGGGCCAGCTTGCCTATCAACTGACTGGCCTTGGAAAGCCCCTGCTTCATCAACTATGACACGCAGAGGCCACCGCGTATCATCATGTGGCCCTGTGTGGAGCACTAAGTCTCACTGACTCCTTACGCCCTCGCCGTACAACGTACTGGCAACGGGAGCCACTCCTCTTAGACATGGTAAACCGAGGCTCCAAGAGACTCATTTACTTGTCCAAAGTCAAAAACTGACAAATAGTGGACACAGGGTTTGAACAAGACAATCAGATAGACCCTTGCGTTTAGTCAGTGCACAGTAACATCTAAATTCTGGCTTTGCTAGGTGACATCGGACAATTCTCTTAACCTCACAGCACCTCATTTCTCTTGAATCTAAGCGAACGTTATAATTTACAAAGCTCATTTACTTTTGTAATCTCATTAGATTTATATAGCACTATGATATAGGGAGGTTATGGCGTGTAGTTTCATCTCCATTTTACAGATGAGGAAATTGAGGCTCAGAACAGCTGACAAGCTGCCAAGATCAAGTGAAACAGCAGTTGGGCAGGAATTTGAACTCAGTTCTTTCCCCTTCAAAGCTTGGAGAGATGAAGCAAATGGGACAGATGACATCCTAGATATTCTTGGGAGGGGAGAGGTTCTTGTGGCCTGGACTCAACCCACTCTCCCACCCAACTCTTCCCAGGGGTCCAGACACCCATGGGGAATCACATGAGCCTAGGACAAGACAGAGGGAGCAGGAAGGGACAGAGCTTCATCACCATGGTGGAGGGTGGGGCAAGGAAAGGTGGGAGGGGGAGGGAAGAGGTCCCTGGCACACCTCCCAGCTCTCGGGAGGGAGCCCAGGGTGGCAGGACGAGAATGCCTGGCTCGGATTCAGAACCCTGGGGGGCAGAAGGCCTGGGCCGCCTGGGTCCGATCCTCGGAGGAGGCAGGCGTCTCCACCCACCTTCTTCAGGTGCCTCTCTCTGCCTCCTTTCACCTACCAGAGCAAGAGGGAGATATGGGGGAAGGGACAGACCCCATTAGGCCCTCAATGCCTGCACAATTAAGGTCCATGCCCACCTCTTAAGACTACAAATCCCAGAAGCCCCCATCCCAGGAAGAACTCTGAGCATGCTCACCTTACAATCAGTGGCTTGGCTTACTGAGCATGCTCTCATCTCCTCTTTCATTGGCCTCAGGCTCTTTCCAACCCCTCCCACCTCTGTAGCAGTTTGAGCATGCTCTCTTCTTCCTCCCTAACCCACCCAGGCAGGGCTCCCAGGGCTTCCTGGCTGTACCAGTTCCCCCTCACCTGCATTTCTTCACAGCAAGCATGCCCCACCCCTGAACTACTGAACTACATGTCCCAACAACCTCTAGAAGAACTCAAGGTGGCTGCTTCCTAGGCCCACCCACAGTAGAAAAAGGGGGGAGGACTACAGCTCCCAGAATCCCTTAGGCTGGACCTAGTGAGCATGCCTCATGGCCTCACCTTTTTTCTTGGGGTAGGGGGCTCATTCCCTGCCTCCCTCTCCTTTCGTTTGGGGGGCCCAGGCACATCCTCAGGCGGGGGGCCAGCAGGTAGAGGGCCCTTGCGCCTGGGTGGAGGCGGTGGGAGTGGCAGCTCCTCCGTCAGCTTCCATCCACTCCCTAGGCTGGCACCCTCCTCGCCGTTGTCAGCCCTGCGGCGGCCTGGCCCCTCACCTGAATCCTGGGGAGATGAAAGCTGGCGGTGAGGCCCTGCACACCTCCCCAACCCGCTACCCAGAAGGCAGTACTCAGCCCAGCTCTGCCCCTACCTTGCTGGTGCGGCCTTCCTGGGTACAGCGAGGGCACTCCCAGCAGTTGGGGATCTCCGCATTGATGACACCCTCAGCCTTCCCCATCTGTGGGCAAGAGGGCAGGGAGTGGATGAGGGGGTCCCGGGAAACCTAAGGTGAATATGGCCCGCCTCTTGCTCCCTGACACTCTGCCCCACCCCAGACACCACAGTTCCCAGAGCTATCACCTTCAGGCAGCCAGGGTGGACGATCTCGTTGCAGATTGTACACTCCATGAGGCTCAAACCAAATTTCTCTTCCTCTCCCTCCACTGTGTCCTCCTTCCCAGCCTCCCCACACAAGAGGCACACAGCTGTGTGTGGGAGCACGGGCTGTTGAGGGAGAGGGGACATCAGGGACCCCAAAAGCAAACAACAGGGGAAAGACTTCCTTCTGGGGACCCTGGCCAGTTGCTCAAGATTCAGAACCCATACACACAGCTGAGTAAAATCCTGAGTTTGTTTCTTTTTGGCAGTCTGACTTCCCAACCACTGACTGAACCTCAAAAGTCTCTGTTTCTGCATCTGTAAAATGGGGCTAAGACTCTCCCTTACAAGACCGTTCTAAGGGCAAGATAATGTAGGAAAGGCATTGGATGCACACTTATTATCACTGCTGTGATTGTTACAGCTAGATCCAAGGCCAGAGTGACCCTGAAATTACAGTTGGCTTTAGCGGGAGGGAAACATGACAATATTCAGAGAAAGTTAAAGAAAATGCAGCAATGCAGCAGCAGCTTAGGGGGATTCTGATGATGTTCAGTGAGCAGCTTAAGAGTGGCTCTGGATCCCACAGTGAATCCAATTTTGGCAAGACCCTGAGAACACTAAAGGCAACTACCTAATCCTGGGAAAAACAGGAGCAATAGTTAGGTAACAGGACTTTAGGGAGGACCGTGGTGATACAGGATGACACGAGGGATGCTGAAGGCCGTGAGACAGGATCAAGAGAAGGGAGAGAGAGAAGAAACGGGAACATGAGGCAAGGGGCTGGGAGACAGAGGAAGAGAGATACTATGGGGTGGAAAATCCAAACCAGGAAAGAGCGACAGGAGGAAGAGAGGGAGGTGGTGGTGTGGGAGGGGGATGCAGGATGCAGCTGGCTCCTCCTAGCTGTCAGAGCCTGGGGCAGCTCTCAGAAGCCTGAGGCCTCTCAAAAGCTGAGGAAGGCAGGGAGGAAGCCCACGTTTCCCTCATACCTACTGTGTACTGGGCCTTGTGGAATTTGTTTAATCTTTACAACTCGGCAAAGGAAATTTTTTTTTAAGACATGGTCTTGCCATGTAACCCAGGCTGCCCTCAGACTCGCAGTGATCCTCCTGCCTCAGCCTCCCAAAGTGCTGGGATTATAGGCATGTGTCACCATGCCCGGCAGGAAAGGAAATACTTTACAGAAAAGGTACCTGAGGTTCAAAATGACTTGCTCAAGGTCAAACGAAGGGGGAGCCTGGTCTCAAATTCCAGACTACCCTCATAGGGAAGAGGCCAGAGAAAGGCAAGAGCTCTTCCTAGGAGACAGCTGTGGGAACAGACTCTTCATGCACGGTAACTGGGGAGCCAGAGCTGGGGGCTGAGCTTTCTATACGCCTGTGCTTTCCTCTGGGGTGAGGAAAGGCAGAGGCCGGGTCAGACCCTTCTGAGTACCTTAACACTGCCACCCCCGCCCCCACATAAGGGTAAAAATGGACATTTACACAAATCAGTGACTGAATAAAGGAAGTGAATCCATAAACAGCAACTCTGGGAAGCAGCCACCAGCCACCCCAAAAGGTGCATGGGCCAGCGTGAAAGGTGACTTCTAGGGATGTGTCCCTGAGCTTCAAAGGGGCCCGACAGTAGTGGGGGCAGAACTCACGGCAGTGCACTGCCGGAGCAGGCACGACTGCTTCATGCGCCCGGGCCCCCCGAACTTCTTCATGTCTCGGCAGAAGTGGCAGTCCCCGCACTCAGTTCGCACACAGGCCCGGCAGCGACGGCAGCGGGTTCGGCGTCGGCGCGCTCCGGCCCCCGGCCCCCGGCTGCTCGACGACATTGGGGGCGTCAGCAACGCCGAGGGCTGTGGGTAGATGGTGGCAGTGTCAAATGGGCCCACTGGGCCACGGTCTGGGAGATTACCGGCAGCTCAGCCCCAACCCTGGGGAACCAGAGCTTGCTCTCCTACCTACCAGGGCGAGGAGGTCACCCCTCCCACGTGTTTGCGTGTTAGGGATGGGGACCACTCTCTGTTCAAGGCCTCTCTCCCTGCAGCTGCTTATCTAGCTCCTCTGGGAGCCGTGAGAACTGGCTTCCCCACCTCATTCCTCCTCTACCCCTTCCTCAGCGTCCTTCCCTAGCCAGGAGGGAGGACACTGAGGCCACCTCTCTGACTCCCAAGCTAAAGCTCTGTGCAAAAGCCAGCGGCTCCCTGTCTGGCCTGATGTCAGAGAGGTCCGCACTCTTCCCTGTTATCCAAACACAGAACGCCCGAGGCTCTCACCGACCCACAATTCCCCAGGTCTGTCTCCAACACGCCACAGATTCCTAAGCAGAAGCCCCAGACTTTTCTTTCTCCCTCTCTCCTTTCCCCTGCTTACAGCTAACAGCCATCCAATCTCTTTCTCCCAAATCTCAGCATCCTCATCAGATCCAATGGGATCCTTGCCCTCATCTCTAATGGTCCACTCTGCCCCTCCAACTTCTCAAGACTCTGACACCTCTGAGACGCTTCTTCACAAACCCTCCTCAGCCCAGGATCTCAACTCCTCCGTCCCTGCGTCCCCTGGCATCCTCTAGGCTCTCTCAGGTCAACCTGGGCCGTCCGCCGGATCCCTGGGGTTCTACAGTTCCGCTGTCCCCACAGACTCAGGATGGGCTCAGCCTTCGACCCCCTCAGCTTCCCGGGCTGCTTTCCATACCTAAGCGTGTGCAATCCCTGGGGCTCCCCTCCCCATGGAAACCAGATCCTCCAAGATCCCACAGGGACTCCGCAGGCCTGGAGGGTCTCTTCCCGGTCAGTCTTACTCCAGGTCTCCCCTTTCCAGGGACCTATCCCCGGGGCAGGGGACCCTCCAGCGCCCGGGGGAGGGCCCTAGAGGGCGGCGACCGCAGGGGCGGGTGCAGGGGGCTGTAAGGGGAAGCAGGGTCTGGGAAGGAAGGCCAGTTCCCGGCTGAGGTCACGGGAAGGAGGGCTAGAGAGGAGCGTCGGGAGCAGAGGGAGGGTGAGGCTAGGGGCGGGGAAGGTGGAGAGAGGCTGGGCTGAGGATGAATGGGAGTGGGAGCTGCCCGGGTCTGGGGGTGCGGAGGAGCCGCATGAACCCACCTCACACGTGTCCCGGGAGCCATCTCTCCCTTCTCGGCAGCTCCCGGCGGGTCGGCGGCCATCGGCAGCGGGGGGGCCGGGCGGCGCGGGGCGCGGAACGCTCAGAACGCCGGGGTCCACGGCCCCCCGAGG